TACCCAGCCCTCTATACTTATGAATCACAACCAAAGTATATTATGTAATACGGAAATTCAGGCACTAGGGACTCCCTGGTTTGTGCAGGAGTTTAAGAGCCCGAGCGAGCGCTCGTTACTCGGCATGGATTCGGTTGGCAGCAGACCTCGAGCACAACGAACCACCATTAGTAGTGCATACTTTAAGAATGTATTGCCTTATATTTTAAGGTATATATTGAGGTATGCTGGTGAGGAGTACAACCAGCTAGTGCGACCCCTCCCAGCGCCACTCCCCTCAACGTGATTCACGCACGCGGACGGCTAGCAACTAGAAGTGTTTAGCGACATTCCTACTTCTGCATTCTTAGATATCCAAAACGGCATGTCATGATTGAAGGCATCAACGTCTGAGCACCAGGAGTTCGGCGAGTCAGCAAGGGACAAGGAAGATACGGTGGTGACGACTGCAGAACCTGCCGTCGGTCACTGTTGCCAACGCCTGCAGGATAATGGGCCTTTATTGTTCCGTAAAAAACAGCGCAGTCTAGCCTTGGAGCTTATCTTCAGGATAGGCGTCGCCGCGAGTCAGCAGGCGGTGTCACTAACAGGGGAGGTTGCTTCTCCCAAGTTTGGCTCCCAGTTTAAGCCGAAACACAGCTCGTGCAGCTTTGTCTTGCTGCCGAAGTACCTCATCACGGATCAGCCTTGCACAGGAGATCCGCAGCTGCTCCCCAGTGCTTGTAGGTTGAGATACTGTAAAGTGTTTCGCATCTGGTTTCCTCACTGACGGGAGACCGAGTTAGGCAGGGGTTTTACATACTGCAGCTCCGTTGCCTTTAACAGTTCCACCTTGCAGCGATCTATGGAAGAGGAAATGGTAAAGGAACATGGAGGGGGCCGGGGCCACCCGTCTCCTCGAAGCTGTTCTCCGACTCTGCAAGTAATGGGACGAGACACGCCGGTTTTGGCAGTACAGGGACGCCGCATTGGGAGGAGAGGCGACGACTCACCCCCGGAGCCCGATGAGGAAATTCGGCGGCTGGCGTCGATGATCACGCGACAAGCCTCACGTGGCTTTACGGGCGAGACTTGGTGGGACACAATTGATGAGTGCACGTCTGTTTGTAATTGACGGCTCGCTAGATCCTTAATGCTGCAGAAAATGCGTATGTAGGTTGTGCGGCTTGCTCATTGCTCAAGGCACTCTACTGCCTTCCTGAACAGAGGAATCAATCGACTGATTGCCCATTTGCCCCCTTCATGCCGTTTTCTGTTTGTTCTTACAGGTACGACTTTGACTTGCCGCTAAACAGGACTGACCCAATTGTCATCTTGCACTTTAACGATGTCTACAACATTGATACCAGAGAAGACGGGTCTGGTGGCGTCGCTCGATTTGTTACTGCAATGCAACGCTTCAGTCATTTGCACCCCTTGGTGTTCTTTTCTGGTGAGGAGTTGCTGCTATCTTGTAGAGGAAGGCTGACTTGCTTGTGCAAGAACAGCCGAATGCTTCGCTTGTGAATGCGGCACTTCTGGGTGTAGGGCGCTACGCCATCGTAGCACCTGTTACGGTTGTGTCAGTGCCAGCCAGGAATGAGAAGTATTGCCTCCTCCCAGAAGTTGAGTGGAAGAAGAGAGGCAGGTAGTAGGGAGGTCGTAGGGTGTACTGTTTTTAGGCGACCTCGCTCCTTATGATGTCTTACCAGCTTCCGGTTGTTTGCACCGCAGGAGACGCTCTGAATCCCTCATTGATGAGTACGTACATGAAAGGGCGCCAGATGATTCCTTTTTTAAACCTTCTCAAGGTGCACACCGCTTGCCTGGGTAACCACGACTTTGATTTCGGCATTGACGAACTGGAATATACAATTGGTTCGTGCAATTTCCCTTGGCTGCTCACAAACGTGTTTGCAAGGTCCTCGTCTGATGACCTACGCAAATTGGACAGATACATGCACGGAAAAGAAGATGAAAGCCAGCACAGTAGAAACTGCCCTGGAGAAGGGCTCCAAGAAAAACGTGGGACTAGCGAAGACGAGTCCCTCGCGGCTGATAGCCAGACTGCTGATCCGTTTGCTGGTGACTACACTGTTCTTCCTGGAGAGCCCATCGCTAATGCTTGGAAATATCGTCTTTTTGAGTGGCAGGGAGTCCGCATTGGCGTCATTGGCCTGGTTGAACGAGGTGAAACAACATTTCAGCTTTCCGTTTTGCGAGCTCAAACCGTGGCACGGACCAAGCGTCATGTGTCTTTTCCATGCTTTTATTGCGGGTTTGCTGGGCGTTGCGAACTCAGAATGGCTAGATACTTTGGCATGCATCAGCGCCGACGACGTGGTGTACGTAGACTACGTGTTGGCGGCAAACCGGATGTGCCGGTTCTTGAGAGCAAAGGAGTGCGAGTTGATCATAGCTCTGACGCACATGCGGGCACCAAATGATCAGCGCCTTGCCGAGATGGCTCCAGATATTGACATTATCCTTGGCGGTCACGACCACGACTACTATGGACTGCAAGTGATAGGTCTGTCACTGAAGGGGCGAGGCACTCCACATAGCGCGCACAGGGGATCCCTCTCGCTGCTGCACCACTTCCTCTCCCTGTGGGTGGTGGTAGTTGTAGGTGGTTGGCTCGTAAAAATGTGGCAGTGTCCCTGATAACCTTGGCAGAGCCCACAGCAGATAACCCAGTGCTGTCTTCGCAACACACTGCTTGTTGTTCAGGTGGCACGCCTGTTGTCAAGTCTGGTACGGATTTCCATGACTTCACCGCTATTGCGATCTTCCCAGGAGACTCCTCCCCCCAGCCAAATCTGCTTGCAACTGCACTGATTGACGATTCAGGGAAGCATGTGGGGGCAGCTGCCATCGCAGCTGCTGCTGTGGCATCAGCTCCGAGAGTACTGGATGGAACCGACCCACCTCCAGAAGCTACAGCCTCCGCGATAGCTGCAGCTGTTGCTGTGGCCCAGGAGGCGTCAAGCAGTAAAGCTGAAGAACTGAGCCCAAGCGAATTGGCGTCGCAGCTGCTACATGCGAAGGGAAGAGTAATCCCCGATAACAAACCGGGGCAGGGCGGTACAGAAGAACGTCATTTGTTGCTCAAGCCTGCCCTTCCAGCTCAGTCACAAAGTAAACGGCAATGCAGTGTAGTCTTTGCCAGCTGTAGCTTTACGCAAGTGCCTTGCCAACATACCTCGTTCCAGAAGTTGCATGCTCAGGCGAAGCTGCTATTGTATTCTGTGTTCTTAGGCCACTTGAAGCCGTCAGACTGCCCAGGTGGCGTCGTTGTTGTTCCGAAGATTCTGGGAAAGTCTTTAGTCCAGTGGGAACGTGTTCGAGTAACGCCCAGTAGCTTTGCAAAGAACAAGCACGTAGAGCTCCTTGTGAAGAAGTATGAACGCCACATAAAGCAGCAAATGCGTAAAAAACTGGCAAAACTGGGCGCTGAGCTTGAGACGAGGTTCCGAATTATCCGCACTCAAGAGAGCAACTGCGGCAATTGGCTGTGCGAGCTAATGCGCAAGGAGTGCAAGAGTGATATTGCCTTTATAAATTCGGGTAGGGGGTATTCAGCACTTAGAAATCACATAGGTTTTATGATGTGAGGGCTCAAATGATCGGCAGGTCCAGGCAGTTGCAATCGAAAGCGCAGCCGCTAACGAGAAGCTGTACACGGGTATACTTTCTCCCTTCGTGCTGCGGCTGAGTGGCGCAATATACTCGTGATGGTTTTGCTCACAGGGACGATTCGGTCTGATTGCGTCTTTAAGGTGGGAGACTTTCGTTACGGGGACCTGGCAGCTATGCTGCCAATGGCAGACGAAATAGCTGTTGTCAGCTGTAAAGGCTCTGTGCTTCTAGCGGCCCTGGAAAATGCAGTATCGCAGATTCCTAAGACGGAAGGTCGGTTTCTGCAAGTCGCTGGGATTAGGTTTGAATTTGACAGTAGCAAACCAGCTGGGAGTCGCGTGATCAGGGAAACCGTTAAGGTGGCACCCAGGGGAAGTTCTCTCCAGTCTTCTGATGGGCAAGCTGGTCTAGGACGTTTTGAGCCATTGGACGAAAATGCAGAGTATACGGTGGCGACGAAGTCGTACGTATTACAGGGTAAGAGACCTTGGGGTACAGCATTGGAATTACAAGCGCTCAAACGATATCCACATTCACCACTACTTCATGGTTCATCCATGATATTGCCATCGGCCGGTAAGGAGCTTCCACTATGTGGAGTTGTGGTAATGTCTTCTGTGTATGTGGTGACTATGCCCTTCTGTGCATGTAGGTCGTGACGGGTTTACAATGATGACGAGCTGTCCAGTGGTTGTAGAGGGTGAGCGTTTGCCCCCTCTGCCGACGCTCGTGCGGAATGCCTTGTCGTTAACTGCCATGGCGAACGGTCTGAAGAGACCGCATTCACGCGTCGTATCTCGTCAGCTATCGTGTTTTACGAGCCTTCAACAGGACCAGATGCTTTCCGAGTTCGGATGCAAGAAGGACATGGACGACGAGGTGGTCCTCGCTCCAAAATGTGACGGTAGAATCGTAGATAGGAACCAACAACCCATGTAATGTGCAAACACTGCGGAAATAGTGCTCCTTAGCCACGAGTACTAATGCTGCTCTGCTGGTCGCGTGCATCTGCAGATTGCATCCGTGGCTAGCACACGTGCAGGAACATTGAACTTTTTTTGCGTTGGCCAAGCAGTGGCTGCAGGGCGGTGTCGGCGGATCGTCAGGCCCACACACGTCTGACCCGACCGAACTGCGAACTTGCCTGTGCCTCCGTCGTGCAGCACGTTGGCACGCCTCATTCATATGGTAGATGGTTTCCTCACTAGCCTAGCGTCACCTTCGTTTCTCGTAGCTCCTTTAGTTCGCTTGCCATGCTTTGACGCGACAAGAGCAATAAGCCGACATTCCGATGCCTGGTGGGTCACCCACACTCATTTTTTAAAAACGGTAACAGCATACGTCCCCGAGAGCGTCTCGACTCCTGCCAGGCAACACTTCAACAAGTAATGGCTTGACATTTTCGTTGTGAGAGTAGTATGGACACCCCTTAAGTTCGACAAAGCTAACAGCAGTATCAGGCAGCCCAGTTTAAATGCCGCCAGTAGGAACACGGGAGGCGCTGCTGCAAGGCGGGAACCAATGCCTGCATTTAACGGTTGGCATCGATCAAACACACGAAACAACATGATGGATTGCGAAGTAAGTTTTTGGTTGGTCAACGGGAACGAAAAACAATAATAGCGAGTCGGGAGCACTGATGCTGGCGGATGGCGTAACCCAGAGGGAGAAGAAGCACACATCCTGCATACCCTTGCGCCGGCCCCCGCAATTAAGTTTCGTCCAGAGCTTACTACGTATGCGCACCTCTTGCGGGCCTGAAAAATGCAAGGGACGTTGCACCGGACTACTAACAGTTGAAAACATCGTTCGCTGCGAATAGGTGACACAGCTTCAACTCGTGAGCTGTTCCTCAAGCTCTTCCGCCAGACCCCGTGCCATCTGCATGTCTTGGCGAGCGCCAACGGCTGTCTCTCTGTCTTCTGCACGCCTTCGGCGGCGCCTCTTAGAAGTAGAGGGGGTAAATATAGAATCGGTTTCCTGTGCACGTTTCCTTGTGTAGATAGAGCACCTCAAACAGCGGAGAGAAAGGCGTCGGGAGTTGGCTTGATTGGTACGAGCACTTCCTGCAATCCGCAGGGTGGATGCACCTGTTTCTGCTTGCGAAAGAACTTCATCTGTAGCGCATCTGTTGCGTTTACCAAAGCCAGTTACACGTTGACGTTCGCAACTGCTGCTAGACGCCAAAGGTTCCTTATCAAGTGTCAAAGCCTCGACCCCTGCCACAATAGGTCCCTTGGCGGCCAAACAACCAGAAGCCCCTGACCCTCTACCACAGGACAAAGTTGGAGGAAGGGAATACGCGGTACTGGAGACTGAGGTATCTCCTGTGTGGGCCTGGGGGACAGGCGGTCTGTGCCCTTGAGAGTCGCTTGCTAGACGCCCTAGTAATTCATGCACAAGCAAATCAGCTGCAGCCACCGAAGCCGCCGATGCTCTCCTTCCAGCTGGCCCACGGCTGGAAATCAAAAACTGTCTTGAAATCGAGGAAACAGTGACAAGGTCACTGTGGATAGCAGGAATGACTAGAGGACCCCGTCGCACAGTAAAGCCTAAGTTGCGTGCTAGTTGCAACAACCGGTGCCTCCGTTGAGATGTCTGCTCCTCTGCCACTGCGAACACTTCAAGCCGCGGCAGCCCCCGAAGCAACAGACGCAGCGACGCTGCATTTCCCCGAAGGTGTTGCACAACGCAAGTACGCAGCTGCGGCAGCAGCTGCGACAATGCAGCCACGGCTCTATGACAGTCCCAGAAGCACCAGCTACGGCTGCATCCAAAGTCAGCCTCCCTTCTTCGCTGGGCTCTACGCCTGCGCCTTGCTGCTTCAGACTCGTTGGCCTGCCGCAATTCGCTCACACCTGGCGGAGGATCCAATGTGTACGACGCTGAATCTGTCACATTTAGTTGCAGGAGTCGCCTCAGGGCTACAAGTCGCTGATGGTGGCTCTGGAGCCTCCTCAATCGCTCAAGGTCTTCGCTGAACCGATGGTAGCGCTGTAGCTGATGGTTCTCTTGCGGTGCTGAGGTATTCGAGGAATGGCTGATGTTAGCCGCAGCGAGTGATTCTAGGCGTCTCTGTAACTGCTGGAGCTGGTGCCGCATGCACATCACTTCACTAGTAAGGCGCCTTCGAGTCTCGTCATTCTCGCGCTGCAGGTACCTTTGAGGGCCTTGGGTAGTGTCTCCAAACAGCTCTTGGTGAGCGGCAACGGCAGAAGACAGCCGTCTCAATCGTCGACGCCGCGCGCTGTATTCTTCGTAGAGCCGGCGTTGGCGTGCAAGCAATCGGATAGCTTCGTTGTCCCGCTGCTTCTGTGTACGCTGCATCCAAAGTTGCTGTTTTCGCTTCAGCTGCTGCAGTCTTTCTGCCTTTCTGTTGTCAATAATGCGCCGCCAAGCGCAAGAAAGGAACGGATTCACAGCAGAAGCAGCTGACAAGGCAAGACGGACAAGCACCCTTGCATCGAGGGTGTATACGTGCAACTCCCTGAGAGAAGCAAACGGGGAACCTTCGAGTGGTGAAAAACTTCGAGGAAGACTCAGCACTTCTAACAGGCGGTGCGCCTCCTCATCAGAGTTTTCGGTGTTTCGAATGACTCGTAGCTCGTGCGACGCCACGAGTGTCCGGGGCGTTGCAGCTCCTGTTCCGCCAAATAGACGGCCTTCGTACCGTAGAACCTGCAAATTACGGGCCCCTCCCCCAGCCAAGAATGAGTCAAAGTCATCATCTCCACGCTGCACCTGCAAAAAAATAAAGGGCGGACAAGAATGCCAATGTTTATATCGTATGTTGCGATGTATCTAAGTAAGCCTTTTACCGACGCCTGAGGAGTCAGGGGGTGTGACGGGCGGTGTGTTTAGTCTAGACAAAACAGAGTTACCTGAAGTTCTTGAAGATTGGGACACGAAAAGCTTGGCGTGAAGAAGAGAGAAGTGCCGGTGTATTTCCTAATATGCAGAGTGACCTCCGGGTAGCTTCTAAAACTCGGGTTTCCGTCCTCCTCTGTTTCCAGGGGAACCAGAGGAGGAACCCTAGACCGCCGCCGGGAGGGATTTAGGCAGGGGTCTCTTACGCAAAGCCTTTCAATGTCAGTTAGCGTAGCAACAAACCACGCGATGGAGTCCGAGTCGCCTTCTGTGCTTAGACTCTGCAGTGACCCACACTGCGGAAGCGGCTCTGCCAAGTAGGGAAGAAAGCTCGAGTGGCACTGCAAATGTTTCAGCTGTCCAAACCTCAGGCCAAACAGGGGCTTCGCGCTACTACCATCTCGTCTCAAAGCGTCAATAACTCCTTCGGTTGAGCCACAGCTGCAGACACCTGAATGCGGTGCGTAAGGAAGCTTCTTGCTAATTGGTGGATGAATCTCTGCATCAACAAGCTCCTTAGCACAGCCACAACCCTGCCCCACCACACAGTTCAGGTCCTGGTGAGCTAGTTGCCATCGCTGCTGCCTACTTGAAGTGGTGCGACGCTGCCAGATATCAGCAACTGTACGTGCAGCAAGCTCTGCGATTCCCGCGCTGACGCCTCCAGCAGCTGCTGCAGTCGACGACGCACTACCTGACCAAGTGAAAGCGGGGTTGATGGTCTTCATGAGATTTGCAGGGTTCATAAGTGGGTGGGCACGATGAACAAGCAATAAGCGCTGAAGAGCCTTGGTCGCTACAGCCTCAAAAGGCAGCATGTGAAATGGCTGTGGATGGGCGGCCGTTCCAGCCCCTAGAAATGCCGCAAGTGGGGGGGCCGTCCCTTTTACATCCAGCGCACGGAGGCTGCGTCCGTAGGTGCACAGGTATGCCCACAGAAGCGGGAAACCTGGTATTGGTTTGCTGAGAACTGAACCCCATGTTTCGGGAAGCCTTAACTCCTCGAGTCTTGGCAGCAACAAGAAACTCAACAGCAAAAAGTCCGCAGACCTTGCGACCCGAAGCTCCGGCAACAGTACCAGCAGCAGCTTTTCCTCAGAGCCCCACGCACAAGGAACAACACAGCACTCGTTTGGGCAGTGCCCCATGTGACGGCAACCATCTCCTGTTGCTGCGCATAGACCCGCTGCTGCAGCAAAAGCACTGTCTGAAGCCTCGGATGCTAGCGCTGCATAGTTCGCCATTGCAGTATAAACCGGCTTGTCACCTATTGTCGGCTCGCTAGCACTTCCTGTTGCTGTTCGTCCGACGAAACCGGCAGTGGGTGCAACCGAAACCGGCAAATCACATGATTGTGGAAGAGTGAATACTTGTGGATTTAGAATGGCATCAGCGGCCGCCAAGGCCGCAGAAAAAAATCCCCCACAAACAAGTCTCTGCTCGCATTTAGCCCTTCCAGGGACAGCTGCTGCTGCAGCTAGAGATCGCACCCTTGTCGATGGGTCTACCGGCTCAATCGCAGGGCCATTGACCCCTACAAGAGCATTGCCCGCAGTGGAAACTGAATGCAGCAACGATTCATTCAAAGGACCTACAGTGTAGCTGCCGTGCAGCTGCCGGAGGCTGTGACCGCTGCGAAGCAAAAAGTACAACAGCTCTTGCAGCGCAGCCTCGGAATTTCCTGCCGATGAAGATACTGTCCGATGCCCGCCAGACCCCGATATGCGATCAGCCCACTCTTGTAGAGCCATCGTCAGATGAGTGTAGTCGGTGTGTCCCTGCTGTGGTTGGTGCTGCCGAAAAGGTTGCTGGTGCTGCTGTCGTTGTCGTTGCTGTTGCTGTCGAGCCGGAGCATCCCTGTGGGGAGACGCCGTGTTGGTCGTGAGATTTAGCTCCACCAGGTTGGGGCAATGTATCACCTTCAGCAACCGCCAGCTTCCAGTGGCGAGGGTCCTAAGCCGTGGTAATACTAGACGCACGCCTTCAAATTTGTGCCAAATTCTCAACGCAGTTTCTGCAGCAGTAATGCAACAGCAGCAATTTTTTATGTCTGCGATTCTGCGGCGAAGCTCCCCTTTATGGGGTCCTTCGCAGCTGCCCTTCGCAATATCCAAGCTACATGGGAGGGCCATGCATTCGCTGTCTTGCATACTACTCCTATTTCGATACCGCCTGTGTTCTGAGGTCACCATGTGCAAATCCCGTTGCTGCTGCTGCTGCCGTTGCTGCGATTGCTCCAGCAGCCTGCTAGTATCTGCCGCACCCTCTGATATGGAAAAAGTGGTTTGTGAAGGGCCGCATCCCAAGCGTTCTCGCAACACCTGCGCCATTGCTACCAGCATACCGCACGGTTGAGGATCCCTCTGGGGCCGTTCTATCGGCAGGCTCGGGTCCCTGCGCAGTAAGTGAGAGCCTACAGCGGCCTCAAGTGCCTGAGCTGTGGAGATATATGCGTCCCCCAAATCCTTCGTTTGCTGGATGCAAGATTTCCAATAAGACGGCATTGCTGCAAGAGCTGTCAGAGTAGCATCGGCCAGCTCAGCTTCCCATATTTCCAGAGACGTCAGTGTTTTTGCGCTGCGCTGCACCACGCCAGCAAACGCGTCCCCCAGCATCCTTGCAGTTAGCGGACACCCAAGAGATATGCTGATGGATCGAACATCGGAGAGCTCCCGGAACAACGACCGAAGGAATAAAAATTCAGGATATTCTTCGTTTTCAACATCCATAGGGATTACGTATCCTATCACTAACTTCGCGTGTCGGCTGTAAATCGCAATGGCACTGATGTAGGCCCGTACTGCTTCCGGCGGCAGATGTCGGAAGACAGGAGGGTATATACGAAGGGTTGTGTCTGATTGACATAGGCAACTTCTGACCAAACCGAGCCATCTTCGGCACACGACAGATCCTACCTTAATTCTCTCGTGTTGTGGCAAAAAACGCAAAATAGAGGCTACGAGAACATCCGGGATGTTGGATATTGGTGAAGGCCTGCAGCAGCTGCTGCTCCCATCCTCGCTGCAGCTGCTGATGCTGCTGCTCACTGAATTTACGTTATCCCTAGGATTGCTGTCATCTGAAGGTTCATCTTCACTACTGCTACTGCGGTTTCCGCTGGTTCTGCTGCTATCGCTCATGCTATTGCCTTGCCACGCATGTATCAGTTATGGTATTGTTGCCGTTTCTAGAACACCTGTTCTTCCTTCTGAAACAGTACCCAAAAAGTCCTTGGTATGACCTCAATGCTGCCTCAGTCGTAATTTCCATCAGGTCAACTAAGCTGACCAGCTCCGCAATCGTTAACTTGCTACCCAGGCAGCTGGTGGGGCAGTGGGTCCTTTAATTAGTGTGAGTTGTTACAGAGACGGAGACAGCAAATCCTCTATATGGGATGGAGGATCGGGTGGTCCTGGATCTGCATGTCATCCCTCAGATTTACGGACGCAATATGCCCCCTGCACTTTACACAAGTTCCTCAGTTCAAACCTTCTTCAGAAGCCGTTTCACTTAGTGACATCCCGTAGAACAGCATAGTGTTGTGCTCAACGACGCTGGACAGATACTTGACTCGCTCCGGTTGAGTGACCTGCAGCTTGTCGACGACAGCCGCAGAAGTACTACCGTTAGACAACCATGATGGAGCCCCAAGAAGTGAAGCAACGCGCATGTTCATCAGCTTAGAAATATGAGAGTACGAATGCTGCAGTGCACAGGCACTACAATGGAACTCCAGTGGAACCTCCTGTGGTTGGGCTTTGTGAAAAAGGAAGGTGTATAACACCAACGTGCTTAAATGTTAGTGGGAAATTTAGGTACACCGGCCCAGGTTGCTCGGCAGTCTCACTGGGATTGGGGCTGGATGGGCGCCCTGTGGCGTTGCTGAGAGAACGACCCTCGGCTGGACCGAGAGGAGTTCAGTTCTTGGATTCCGGATTTCCCATAAATGGACCTAGAACTCAAAATATGTTTTAAATTGTGTTATCGTGTTTATTTGGGCGTAATTAGCCAGGAAGAGCTGAGTGTAGCTATTGGAACTGAGTTTGCACCAAGTTGAACTACTTGGGAGTCATGCATAGAGCAGTTAGGTCAACTGTCACTGCAAATACCCTTGCGGTCTAGCGTCGTCGGCAGTTTTCGAGCCAGATGCTGAATTTTTGGCGCTGCCGCCCTGTGCTGCCTCCAGGGAAAGCCTCTCCGGAAGGTGGCAAGAGGCCACAACGTAGAGTAAACCAGCATCTGTGTGTACAGTAAGCAAAGAGTGGAATGCCATGAACAGAACGTTGACTAAAACACACTGGAGCCAGCACTCTCATGTCAAAGTTTCAGGGGCTGTTTGCTCTACCGCCATTGGGGTGTCGACCAATGGCATATAAACACACGATAGTTACCAACGTGAGTCGGGATTCGCCACATAATTGAATATATGCTCGCTAATTCCAAACATAGGTTCTTTTGTATCTCCAGAAAGCGTATAAGTGCCATGTGTATGCGGGCCTGCCCCCGCAGGAATTGTGTTACTTCGACCTTTGTCAATTTTACCAGGCACACGCGAACAGTTCACTGACTTCTGCATGGAATGCAAACTCTTGCACATAGCATGCCCTACAACACCCTATCGGACCTCAACAGCCTTGTAGATCCAATAAGGCCGAGACGGAACCCAATGTGCTGTGAAAGGTAGCTTTTGTGTCGGGCGTGTACAACGTAGGCACCGGCACATTAGATCAAGCTGCAATATGCAACCACAAGGCTAAAGTAGTACGAGTGTCGTGAACAAGCCTAGAAAGCGTGCGTATCGTGACAAAGAAGTATCGGCTTGCTGCATAATCTAGTCTGGAACCCCTGAAGGCACCTAGTGTGTGCGCAGCGGCTAAAGGTGTAAGGTAACAGGACTACACCTGAACCTGACGGCCGAACCAATTGAATCAAATCAAGACGCAGAAAGGTTATGTTGCCTATGGCGGGGGAAAAGATGCTGTCCACCGTTCCGAAAGGAACGATTGGGTACTGCTTGCTACTCCAATCAGTGCCAGGTGCTCCCCTACGCTCGAACACCACTCGACAAAGCCGCATGGCCGCGGTGATGCTGCGGTCATGTCACACAGCAAATTGTGTAAGGTTAAACTCACCCATCAGCCCGAGCAACCAAGGCACTAGGACCATCGGCCCAATACGGCAGCCGTCCTACTGTGTGGCCAGTTAGGCAGCAAGAGGCTTCCGGCCTTATCATCACTGCAAAATCGTATGCTCCAACGGACGTAACACATGTCGTGTCGTAGCATTTCCTTTCGTCGCTACACCTTCGAGCACGCATGGCTCTACGGAAGCGCCACAAGCTGGCGCCGACATTCCGCACAACAAACCGGATAAATGACCGAATTGGGACGCTCTGTATAGGTGAAACGGTCTGCAACTTCCACGAGAACACCGTAATGGAACCCCACAGTATGCAGAAACGGCAATGCTTCCTCAAACCGCAACGGCAGCCGCCACGCGGTCCCCACCAAAATTCTCACAAATGGATTTTGGCAGTTTCAGCTGTGAGCTTCTCCAAGATACCAACGAGGAAACGCAATCTATGAGCCAACAGCCCGGGTGCGCTTCGTCAAAGTTGAAGAGGATGCACCAAACGGCGCCTCATCCAAATCTTTAGCCTTCTTGTCCACTTCCCCATTCGTTGACGTTCCAGGTTCCTCGGCACGACGCTCTTGGGCTGGTTGTCCGAGAGAATTGTAGTACTCGGGCCGAGAGTCAGGGTGCACCACTGCGAATCCATCGGAGAGCGACGCGCTGAACACTTCAGCTGGCATCGATTCAACACGCTCGTTCAAGTAGCACACCGCCTCTGGTACCCGGTGAAGAGGCACTCTGAATTTCGCAGCAAAACCAAAGTTGTGAACAGATGAATCTCATCGTCGTGGCATATGGCTATTTTTTCCATGCAGGAATAGAAGGCTTTAAATGAACCCGCAAGAAGCAGTGCCGTGCATGCTGCACAGAAGAGGAAACACCGTAATCAGTGGAGTAAATGTGCTGAAACGCACTCAAAAGTAACTGCCTGAAGCAAATGGAGATCTAGCGGGCGATGGTGTAGAACGTGTATTGCCCGCATCAGCTGCGATTCGTCTTTGCGGTGCCTCTTATCCAGGCAAGCCTTGACCCAGCGCAGCGCGCATGGAGCAACACAGAGGAAATCGTACTTGCAGTTGTTGTTCATGACGTCGTCTTCAAGAACACCAAAGCAACACAGCCGCACACACCGAATTTGCAAGGCTAGTACACTGACACAGGAACGGTATACGCAACGCAGGTCAAGTGAAAAAAGGGCTCGAACTCACGAGGCCCTTTCTTCTCCATGGTGAGGAAGTAATACGCTGTCCAAGTGTCCATGACGAGGTGAGGCAGTAAGTAGAAGGTGCTAACCAGCAACAAATTTCCCCTCCACAACGACACCATCAAAGTAAAGCCGACGAAGAGTGTCAAGAATAGTGGCGCCAAACAGGCAGACCAGCCAGGGAGACGTGGAACTGCTAGCGTTGCAGTATATAGAAAGGGCCTGAAAATCAGAGGAAACAACGAGATTTCGGTGTTTCGCTGTCTCTTCACTGCTGGAAGCTTTACTTCCACTTTTGTATTATGCGGCTGGAGATGCTGTGCAAATCGTCTGAATACAGGAGATTAGTCAGGGACTAGTACCTCAGTGCCGGAGTTTCTCCAGGCACATTGAATCGCTTTCTTTGATACGGGATCATGAGGAGGCCGCATATGAGACCACCCACGAGGTCAGAAAGTAATGTACTCGCACTGAATGTGCCGTTCGCCGCCACGAATGCGTGCATCAGCATGGAGAAAAACAGTGTGCCCAAAACGGCGCTGCTAACGATAAGGAGCAGTGGAAGCAGGACGTATGGAGAAGCCTCCACAAGCGCTTGGGGAGCTGTACTTAGCCGTGATGTACAAGCCGAGTAACACCACCACGTGAGAAGATATGCCCCAGTTAGCAACAAGAGGTCGAAAAATAGGCTCCACTGAGGACAAAAACACAGCTTTCCAAACAACAAAACCTCTGGAGGGTGGGCAGCTTCCCCGACGCATTTTGGGTTGCAAAAATACACACCCTTCGCGGTGTAGCCCGCAGCGCCCTCAATGTGATATTCCTGCAGGGCTAGTGTATACACACCAGAGACTGGAGCGTGCTCGTGTGCGCACTCTTGACGCGGACGACTTCTCGAAGGCTGTGCACCGCAGAGAGAGCCTCACAGTTTTTGCGGGCCTCTGCATCCCTTTGCTGTCTTACAAGGGCCTGCTGCTCCCGTTCAGCCTTCAGCATCTTCCAGGTGGCAGTGGCGCGTCGGCGTTCCCACGCCAATCCCAGCCACGCGCAGACGTCAATGAACTACAGAAAATACGCACTCAAGTTAAATCTAGATCAATCAGAGCAGAAACCTACAGCCGAAGTTCTAACTTGCAATTTTCATGCCGTGGCTTACCAGCTTGCTGGGATTGTACTGGTCAAAAATCCCTCCCTCCGATGCTGCATAGTCGTAGGGATACTTGTGGTGCCAGTCATGCCAGCCTTCGCCTACGGCTACTAGAGCCGTGAAGCAGCTCTCGCAAGGATTACCTTCCACTGTATAGCGCCTGTCACCCCAAATGTGGGCAGTGCTGTTCACTGTCCACGTGGCGTGGAGGCAAATGCACCATCGCAAGCAGCCTGCGGTGCATAGCAGAACAAACAACATCGGAAAATAAAAAACGGCATGTGCCCGTTGACATGGACATTCGAGGAAAATGCTCCGCAGGTCCTTATGTGGGTGTTTGTGTTGCCCACCAAGCACGAAGAAGCCCGACCAAAAGTCGTTGTACTTGTAGTGTGCATAGATAGCGGGCATTACAAAGCACCAGAATTGGTTCCACCACGGATCCAGTCGGTGTTGAAATCGGACGAAAGGATCCTGAAGAGGAAACACGTGGCTGTCTTCTGGTGTAGATTACGCAAGCGCAGTGCATTCCATTAAAAAAATGGAATGACACATTGCCATCCAGCGGGCCAAAACTGGTCATACACACACAGTCCGCTGCCAGCCTGGTGCGGTGATGCTTACAGCCAGTAAGTCATCGAAACTCAGCTGACTCCCGGCATCCTTTACGGATTGAGGCTTCTTAAGCAGCAACCATCCCACGTGTGAATAGAAGAAGCCCCGAGACGCATTATACGGGTCGCCTTCCTTGTCACTATTTTTGTGGTGCACGCGATGATCCCTGGCCTGCAAGCCACACCAAAACACAACTTGGAGCTACTCAAGTTAATTTACTTGAATGGCTGCGGGCAGGAAGTGAGCAACGGGGGTGACTACAACTGACCTCCCATGGAGTGTAAGGGTTACAATTTACAATCAATTATATGGTGGTGCGTCAACTTCGCACCCAGTGAAAGATAGATCCCTGATTGGCCAGAGACGTCAACAACATCAAAAAGCAACGAAGACCTGCGCTGGCCTTGTAGGCGCGATGTGACCACAGACGATGTGACCCACACGTAATGCCCAGACCCCCTACAAGGTAGAGCAACAATGTCTGCGGAACAGAACCCCATGAGCCACACCGCACACTCCGTCAAAAGCAGCAACTGGCGCAACAATTGCTGGAAGCGATGCCCTGCTCAGACGGTATGCAACGCGCATCTACACGGAAAACCAGAGTGTCTGCTGCCTATACGTACATCTGCAAATAACCGCCAGCACTGCTCGTGCATCACAAGCTTCACGAGACCAATAACAGCAAAGGCGTGGAAAAAAGTAAGAAAAGTCGCCTCTCCGCTTCGGTACTCCTTGCAGAAGGCATCAAGGTAAAACTGTAGGAAAAGGATTGCATGCGAAATGTACATTGCCAAGCACCTGCAAGAGCCATAATGCACACGCGGCCGCAACTCGATAAGCCCCGTACCGAAAATGAATGAAGTACGCATCTTTTGCTATCCCCTGTAGACAGTCAGTATCCAAACTCCAAAACATGAGCGTCCAACCGTTGGCCGAAGGAACAGTCCTTACAGCTTAGCATTGAAGACAGCGAGGGCACTTTGCTGGACTTCCGGGTGGTAAATGGCATGTGAACTGATGCACATGCCGAAGAACATCTGTGAGAGCTGGAGAAGCGTGATGTATGAGCGCAGGAACGTGAACAGCCTGCCAAACACCAAGGAAGACAGAAGGCAACCGTACGAGGTACGTGCTCTCGTATCAAGGGCTGCTCATCTGACTTCGGTGCGATGCGCTGTGCTAGTAGAATGCACGTACCGTTTGGTTACTGCAAACTCTGCAGCTGCAAAGTAGGCGTGAACGAACACCTGCACAGCCAAATTTGCTGCGACAAAGCCGTGCGCAAAAGGCACGTCCGCATAAAGTGCGTGCCAGCAGTACAGGGCAACTGCAACGCGTGCGTAACAGTGGAGGAAAGACGGTCGCCGTCCACGGAGAAACAGCAGAAACGTATCAAAGACCTCCACACCCTTTCCCAAACAAAAAATACAAACTACCAACCGCGTCAGTGGCGGGTACTTTGACGAGGGGAACGCAAACGTGCTAAACAGTCTCGGAGACGACCACATCTGCAAAGCCCGCACGCAGAGCCCTACCCACCCCCAAGGTATTGCATATCACAGAAATCTAAGGTGGAAATGGTAAAACATACATGCTAACTACGAACTGCGGTGAGTACCTACCAACGCGCAGAACCCGACGAAACAGTATGTACAAAGGAGAACGTTCCAAAGGCAAGTCACCGCCTTCAGGATCGGGCCTACGCAGGCTCGCTGATGTGAGGCCTGTTTCTGCTTTCCCACCCTATTGTCATGCATCCTTTGAAGAAACATAACCAAAGGAATGTACGCAAGACATACACCCCACACAAGGTGGCGGCAGCTCCGGCTAATCATTGGGGCCCTCAGTGGCTCTGCCCAGAACTCCTCCGTGAAAATGGGCAGCACCTGCTGCCACAAAGTGTCCAGCATCTTCCACCTTCAGTGTTCCTTGAAGCGCGAAACTGCTGCGTCAGGTCGAAAAGAAACGCCTGGATGCGGCGAGTTTCCAATGGGCAACAAATTGAGGGAAGGCGAATTTGCCCAGGCAGGAAACGATTGCACTGCAATACCAGCACAACGCACATACACGAGCGCTATCGCCTATGCTCCGTAATAATATTTCCAATGCAACAACCACTACCGATCCTGGGCTATCACTACACCCAATGTCATACAGATCGCCATATCCAAATAAGGTCTCTGTGGACCCAAGATGAAGTAAAATGAGCTATTATCGTGACTGGAGAAAAACAACGAGAGAGACGTCTGTGCTTCCTAAATGACTGGTCCACAGCCACTGCACCAGATGGCATGCAGACGGCGCGAAACTGCTCATCCGGCCACTAGTTCGCTTGAACCGCATGGGAATGTGTCAATCCGAATGCATAAAGCATGCCTTTTGTTTAACGTATGATGCGAGTCGCCCCCTTCCCTCCCCCCCCCTCCCGGGGGG